ATATATATCTATATTTAGACCGTGTGCTGTCCCCGTGCGATATTTAAATGTCCTCATTGAGCAAGATCACAATAGGAGCGCAATACAGTGTGTTTAAATGCTTTGAGGCGTCTCCTCAGGAATGGCCTCCATTATAAAAGGGGAACTTTACTACCACTCAGTGACAACATCAATGACATCACCAGGTGCCACTGTGTCTGTCTGCACGTCCCAGTCAGTGTCTGACACTGTTACACACTCACGCACAGACGCACACTCTCTCTATTTAAGGACCAGTCAGACAGCACTGTCCTCCACCTGTCTCCAGTGTTACCTGCCCCAGTCATTAGCAGGGTCCCAGATCCCCACTGTAAGTGCACATGTCAACAGTGAAATTACAGGGCATTCACACACACGTATTTGTTTTGCTTTTAAAAGGGTAATATCCGTCTGCACGCAAGCAATACATTTATTTCCTCCTTCTCTTGTTCTTTTTTCCACCCCTACAAACCCAGAAATCAGAGCAGGTGAGGTTCAAAGACACACAAGGACATGAAGAGAGGAGATGTGTAGGGATGATGGACACATTGGTGCTGTGTGTTTGTGTAATGACAAGGAGAAACTCATGCTTTTCAGCCCTGTTTCTCTGGTCAGTGCGGACTTCACCTGATTACAAAGCAGTGTCATTAGATCTAAGCTTTGTTCACCCACTTAGCTCGCTTTTGACAAACTAATTAAGACAAGAAAGTCTCTTCAGAAGTCTGAGGTGAGAGTCTGTGTCCTGAAATGCGACTGTTAGTCTTTGGCAAAACTTGAGATGGTGTAGTAGTGGGAAGAAGTGCCCTGACAAGTTTGACGAGAATGAAAACACAGTGTGCCAAATACAAATTGCTTTGACTAAAAGATAAAGGTCTGTTTTCAAACAATGACGAATAGCTTTTATGTTTACTGGAATTACCATTGGGAATTACCATCATCAGTATAAAAAAATCTGCGTGCATTCCAAAGTGATCAAAGACTCTTTTCTCAAAAAACTGACCTTTTATTCTCTCCTCTTTCACCAAGTTCACTTTGGGTAACCTGAGTGCTCTCTTTCCCTTTTCAACATGATCAGTACAAACAATGACAAACTTCCCTTCTCCTCAGGGTGATTGACTCGGTCTTATTGTCGCTCTTATCATGTGTTTTTTCTGCTGAAAGAACTCATGACTGTACGTCTGAATAGAAACTGACAGAACCTAGAGGTGGAATCTGTCAACCTAAAACAGCCACAAATGAACTCACCGCTAGACAGCATAGGACTTGTTTCGCACAAATTAATGGTTGTTCTTTTGTCAATGATCGACGCATTATATTAGTCACTGTGTTTTGGCTGTCAATGGCACAGCCAAAAAACATGAACCACCTTGGTGAGCAGACTGTGCTGTATACATGATGACAAATGCATTAAGCATTTCCTATAATTTGTGCACCAATCACATCCGTCTTCCGTGCATGCTGTAATTTCCCTGACTGGATCCTCAATAACATCCTGTTGTCTGAGGACATCTGAGGGGCCAGGTTGGACTGACCCTCCACCACATCACACACAGGACAGAGCACAGACTGTTATGCTGGCCCCGGCTAATGACAGCCGAATGAGAGAAACGGGCAGGAAGCTGTCCCCTGTGATCTCTGTATTTAAAAGCGTCCTTATTATTGCTTGAGTATTGTTTTGTCGCGTTGGGATCCCTTTGGACTACTATTATTAAGTCCAAGGACTGTGACTGCTGAGATAAAGAAGCATAGACATCCCTTATTGCAATTATGGCCATTATGATTAATAAGCAATATAAACTATTTTTGTAAGAAATTGCCACAATAACTTGCACCAAAGTCTATTTATATTACCTACAATGATAAGCATGTCTCTCTATAATCACACAATTAATTAAATTAAAACAATTTAAAACATCTTTCCCCAGACCCTGAATTAAAAAAAGGAAACTTTTTTTAAATGGCTGTTTAAATACTTTTTCATGATAAAAAATACTAAAAGTCTTATGTTTATCAAACAAAATAGATACAATCTTAACTTTGAGTGACATTGTTAGGCAAATAACATGAAGTATTAAGTGTAATATGTTTTACTGTTTTAGAAGTGCATTTTTTAGGTTGCCTTTTACTTTCGAAATAGACTATTAAAGACCTAACAAAGACTGAAGAAAGAATTACCTAAATTCAAGGCGCTGCTTTCTGCAACTATTTCATTATTTCATTGATTACTGTGAGTAAGAACAGCAAAGGGAAGCGAAAGTATTTAGATGCTTATATGTTACAAAGTTCTTCATTGATATCAGAATATTACAAACTGAACATTCATTGACCAACATATCTTTACATGTGGTTCTTCATATCTTGTGTTGTTATAGTTATCATGATCAACAGTTTCCTTTCTACTTTATACACCTTTACAAAGTGCTCTGCTCCACAGGAACCGCAATGAGTAAGGCTGGAGAGATTTATGAATGAGTTAACCTTGTGTTAACCCTGAGCAGCGAAACACAACAGGTGGTCATCCTCCTTTGTCCGCTGCAACAGAGACAGGTGCTTCCGACTATGGTGGACAGATCACTGTTGACCCTGGACAATGGAGGAAAACAGGGGAACAAGAAGGTCTAATCCATGCATGGCCACTTCCAGCCCAGCCCAAGTCTATGTCAAACACACAAATGCATAAACCCACCCACTCTATGAGAATAAATAGTCCATATTTCAATGCAAACACAAACAACGTCCTTCAAACTGTCAGTGTTTTTCTCTCCCCGGTTTGTTAGGGAAACAGAGGCGTCAGAGGACAATAGTTCTGTGACCCATAACTGAGGAAGGCAAACAGGAAGAGATCCCCTTTGCTTAGTGGGGTATCCTGACTCCGGCTTAGGGAAGAAGAATGGAGTAGTGGGGGAACGGGGGAAGGGGAGACCACTCTTTGACCCATAATATCCACATTGCAGGGAACAAAGGTAGAGCTGCAATTATAGCTTATTTTCGTCATCGATTCATCTGCTGATAATTATCTAGATTTGTCTGTCTGTAAAATGGTGGAAAATAGGGAAATGTGTTAATTCAATTTCGTCAAAGTCCAACGGTGATATCTTTAAATGTCTGGTTTTGTCAATCCAGAATTCGAATATATTCAATTTATGTGATATGAAACATAGACCTGCAACATATCCTATATTTGAGAGGCTTAAAACAGCATTCCTGCCATTTTGCTTACAAAATGCTTTCATGATAAAAATCGAATAATCAACTGTTGTTTGTAGCTTTAAACAGAAGAGACCAAAACACACACTCCCTGAACCAGAAGAAAAATCAATTGACCTGAGATCAACAATGAGCCTTACTATGACACAAACATACCAACATTTTTCTAAACTGAGCATGGTGTCTTATATTTACTCTGGCTGCACTAACCTCCTCTCTTTCTCCACTTTCACTATGCATTCACCTGTGAGAATGCAACCACCTCATCTTCCTCTGAAATCTGGCTCTGTTGCATGACGGCTCTGACGCTCCAGGCCAAATCTGAAAGTAACACTTCAGAGGCATCTCACTGTATGATCAGCAGTGGTATCCAAACAATGAGTTTCCTTTTTGCCGGAAACACTGCCGTGTAATTAAACTTGTCTCAATACTCCTATCTGCATTGTTGTAGAATGACTTACAGTCACAATGTGGCATCTCAAAAGATAACACATTCAACAAGGTGTTGGTTACCATTGAATAATATAGACAGTTAGAAGCATGTTTTTGCATTTTTAAAAAGCAGATAAAACCAACCAAACAGTTTGGTGTCCCAGAAAGTCATGTTATAGAAAGTTACCTGTTAAAATGAATCCTTCACCCAGTGGATCTACTCATTTCGTCAAGCTACCTCAGTGGGCTTTATCTCATGTTATCAGTCCTTGTGTAAGAGTAAATGTCAATGATGATGACGGTCAAATCAGGACTGATTGATTAAGTAAGGAGAGACAGGAAGGGAGGGGAGGATGATGAGCAGAAAGAAAGAAGGGTTGACCTCTATCCTTCTCTGTCACGTAGATAAGAGTGGTGATGGAGATTCCCGGTGGACTTGGATAACCTTTTTCTAAAGGTGCAACGTCACCATTTGCAACTAACCCATTTTCTCTGCATTATTAGATTATTTTTTGGAGGGAAATAGGGCCATAGTTGTTCCATAAATACTTTTGCCTTATGTTTTAGATTTGGTAACGTTTTTAACGGGTGACTTACCACATTCTTTTTCACAACATCAATACTCATGCAAATTAGCCTTGGACTGTAGGCCTACCTTTGTATTCTGATCTGACAGTAGAATTAATAAATAAAATCCCTGTGAAGAACAGAAACTAAAGTATCTTCTTAATTATACAAACGTGTTTTTTAATCAAATAATAAATAATCAAATAGGTAATATCGCCACATATTGGCTTATATTAAATGCAAAGCAAAATCAACTTATGAAACTTTCATTCCAATGTTCACAAGTAAGCTCGAAGGAAGCAATTGAATTTGCTACAGTAGTTTGCCAAAAAATGATTTTTCTAAAGCTCCAGTTTTTTTGAATTAACTCAAAGGTAAGCTGAACACAACAGTATAAACTGCAGCAACACCATGTCAAACCTTAACATGTAATATTCATTGTCATTTTATTCAAGGCAGTTCAAATGTGTGGCTTGTAACGATAAACATATATATGTATTAACAGGAAAATGCTAAATGGATTTAATATGATTGAAGTGCTCAATTACTTATTTTAGCTTCACATTAGATTATACGCATTGCAAGTTTGAATTGTTTTCATTTAAATCATCTTAACTGTGATTTGGAGGTTAAATGACCTCTAAGAGTTTTAGCCAAATCTCCACATAGTTTATAAACCTATTTGCATATTCAGGAAACAGCTATGATTCTGTTCTGGTCTCTCGTCAGTAGAGGGCGCCCTGACACCGGTCTGATCCCCCCGGCAACCAGCGGGTTTCTCTTCAAAGCGCTCGTTGGCTGTGTGTAAGCAGAGCATCTTTCTGCCAAGCTTCCATCTCCTGAAGTTGATGTTTTACAGACTCCAGAGGGTCATTTCAAAACCACTGTTTCACTCTCTGAGGCAGCTCCTTTTGTTACGCAGTTCCCGAAAACTGACCTCAAAAATGTCTTTCCAGTATCCACAAGCTTACCGTGACGATGCAGTTGTAAGTTAATGCGGCTAGCTAACTAGCCTAGCGTGCTAGTACGCCGGGATGCTTAATCATCATGCTTTTCCATTCATTTGGTGTGAGCCTCTGCTTTGTTAGCATGCTAGTTAGCTTAGCCTGCTCTGACAACCCAGACTGAGTTTGTTGACAAACGTCTGGCCAGTCGTTTCCAGTTAACCATAACTTTATTCACTCTTCCTATATTCATTCTTAGTTAACATTTTTTTGCTGTTTAGCTAACGTTGCAAACCAACCTGAACGTGCTAGTTTGGTAGCATTAGTCTGTTGTTTCTGCCACACCTAATGTTACCTAGCTGGTTCTAATTTTAACCGCTGTCATTGCTATTTCTCCTCCCTCAGATGGATGCCTATCACGGCGACAAAGTACCAGATCCATACAGCTGGCTGGAGGACCCGGACAGTGAAAAGACACAGGTATATTATAGTTTATTGCCATATTTTGCATAGAATATTAGTTTGTTAAACTGGATTTTTTTGTTTATATTTCTCCACTGACATCTCTTGTTTTATAATTGCTTAAAGGTACAGGTCACCATTATGTAAACAAAATACTGGTGTTAGTATGTAATTATTACTCGTAAAGGCATTTATCACCACCAGCCTTAGGTTTATTTGATATCACCAGGGGTCTGTCCCTAGAGGGCTGTTCACCGAGTGATCTGGGTAACTGCTGAGCTAAACCTGGAGCATAATGTAAACACACCTGTTGTGGTTTTAATCGGCAACTTTCTTCAGATAAATCAGTAAATCAGTTTCTTTGAACTGTCTGCAGGGATTTAAATACATTGATGTGTACTACCTCTTGGTCTTGTATCTCCTTCCATCAGGCCTTTGTCACCGCCCAGAACCAGCTGACTGTGCCATATTTAGAGAGCTGCGAGGTGCGAGACCTGTTCAAGGAGCGCATGACTGAGCTGTATGACTACCCCAAGTACAGCTGTCCCTTCAAGAGAGGGGACAAGTGAGTGATAACAATATCATTTTGTTACAACTGTGTGGAGCACATGTGTGAAAGATCTTTTTTCATCATAATAATTCTTCTCTTCCTTTTCAGGTACTTTCACTTCTACAACACAGGGCTCCAGAACCAGAGTGTGATGTACATGCAGGATAGCCTGGATGCTGAGCCCAAAGTCTTCTTAGATCCAAACACATTTTCTGAAGATGGAACTGTTGCCCTGCGAGGTAACGACGACACAATGTCTTTTATCAATGATGTTATTTTATTACAGGCTTTGTTATTCTTTTAACTATTCCTCATGCTTTTTTCACATATTGTGCAATTCTGCTATTCTGGATATTGTACTCTTTGCACTTTGATACTATTTGTTACTATTATAATGATTTATTTCTGCATTTTAGTTCAAAGCCTTAGCCCCATGCACTGGCACAGATTCACAGAACAGTTTCTCGATGTGGTAATATCGACGGAAATGTAAAACCGTCGTGTCCAGAAATAACCTGTTTTTATATCATCAACATGTTCAGCTAAATAAGGAATCTAGCCTTTCTCTGATGTCTTTGTTAATGTCCAGTTTTCTGTTCCTCTGTTCACTTCAAGGCTACGCATTCTCTGAGGACGGAGAGAACCTGGCGTACGGAACCAGCGCCAGCGGTTCGGACTGGGTGGAGATCCGCTTCCTGCAGGTAGAAGGGGCCAAGGCTCTGGAGGATCGCCTGGAGCGAGTCAAGTTCAGCTGCATGTCCTGGACTCATGATGGGAAGGGTCTCTTCTACAACTCTTACCCAGAGCAGAAGGGAAAGAGTGACGGTGAGGTCAAGACCGCGTTGGCCGCGTATTCCTGCCTGAACTCCCCTCAGAATGATGAGATTATATATATCGCACCACCACACACACAGACTGTAATACCCCTGATGAGCAATAACATATATAAATATATAACGGATGTGTAATAGAATTCACGCTTTATTTTTCATTCAATTTATTCACAATCTGTAAACAGTAAAGCTACCTCTTTAATCGAATATGGTCACTTTAAAAATATATATTCACTGCTACTTTTTTTTATCATGCTGTACTTATCTGCAATTATGTTTTTACTATAACTATTGTGTTTTTTAAAATTATTATTTTTTTTTTTTAATACATAAATCTATTCTCTCTACTTTACCTGTTCTATACTTCTGCTGTTGTAATAATGTAAATTTCCCCGTTGCGGGACAAATAAAGGAATTCTGATTGGCTAATCTAAAGCTAAATACCTGAACCATAGATTTTCTGAGGAAAGATAGATTTTGCTCTACATGCTTCACTTTTAGCGTAAAAGACTTGCAGCTTCCACTGCTCCGACAGCTGTGATGGGTTGTTTCTGAAACCGTCAAATGTTTTGTCCTCTAGGCACTGAGACCTCCGCCAACCTGCACCAGAAGCTGTACTTCCATATTTTGGGGACTCCTCAGTCTGAGGATGTGCTGTGCGCTGAATTCCCCGACAACCCCAAATGGATGGCTGGAGCTGAGGTGTGCCAGAAAGTCATTTATACCAGTGGTTCTCAACTGGTCAGGCCTCGGGACCCACTTTCTACTTGGTCAATACATCGCCACCCAACATTTTGAAGCACTCAAATCTATTCAACAAAAAATCGTGCTGTAATATATACGCTTTTCAGCATACAATATTAATAAAAGTGAAGTACAGTGCATACATCCCTTATATCCCTTCACAGAACTAAAGTATGCTTTTAAAAAAGGTTTAATGAGATGATGGAATCAAAGCTGAACTATATAAAAAGGCACACATGCTGAAAACCCAACCCCAGCAGGGGGGTCTGGGGGGATTCTCCCAGAGGAGATTTTTAGAAATACTAACATAAACTATGCATTCTGGTACACTCTGAAAAGAGAATAAATAAATCTATTACTACCCGACATATTCATAATATTTTATGCCATTGTTTGTTTTTGACATCTTGCAGAAGAGTAAAGAGGAGAGTCTGTTTGACTTACTTTAAATTGTGGGTAAGGGTAGATAGCTCCCATTGTTCTGTGACCTGTCAATCATCAAACCGGGGGTCATATTTCATTATGTGTTCATTTTTATCTGAAGAAGTTGTACCCATGGATGTATAAAGAATAGTTCTACCGCAAAGTTATTCTCCGTGGGGACTTCCGGCAACAATCTTGATTCTGATTGGCCAGAAGACTCGAAAAAACATCAGAAAATATATTTGATTGAGAAGATGATCACTACGTGACAGTTTTCAAAACCGTTTATGGTCTCCGGTACTTCCAGTCCAACGCCGACTGCATGCACAGCATTAGAAAATCGGGCCTTCAAAATAAAAGTTTGACTCCGTCCCACCCCCCAAAAAAAAAAAATTCCAATTTTTTTTTCTTCACTCACACATCCGCGACCCACCCATTGAGAACCACTGATTTATACCATCCTAAAATAAAAAAACAAATAAAGACGAGAGCTATGTTATGTTAGATATTTAGAGAGGGTTAAGTGATTTGATTTATATTGCAGGTATCAGACGATGGAGGCTACCTGCTGCTGTCGATCAGGGAGGGGTGTGATCCGGTCAACAGACTGTGGTACTGTGACCTGAAGACCACTCCTGAGGGAATTACAGGTACGTCAAGATTGTTGTTTTATTTTCTTGATCTTTTTGCCTGGCCTTCTCTAAAGGTATTTTCTCAGCATATCCATTGGTGTTTACCATTACCTGGTCATCATTGTAAGATTGACTGGTTTTTATGAGTTATATTTGAATACTGATCTGTAATGCCGAGAAGCACTTCCTCATTATTCTTATATTCTCTGTCTGTTAATGTGAAGTGATCTCATTATAGCGCTAACATACCCCTCCTTTTATGTTTAGGACTTTTGCCATGGGTGAAGCTGATCGACAACTTTGACGCAGAGTACGAGTACGTGACCAACGAGGGCACGTTGTTCACATTCAAGACCAACCTGGACGCCCCGCGGTACCGCCTCATCAACATCGACTTTGCCTCTCCGGCTCAGACCAACTGGAAGGAGCTCATCCCTCAACACGACAAGGATGTTATTGGTGAGCTGCTGCACCTTCCGTACGGTTAAAGTGTTAAAACTAGGCGTTTAACATTTTGATGTCAACCGGAATACACATTTCAGCTTCTTATCTGCTGCCTTTCCCTTGTTTTCCCTGCAGTGTTTGCCACCTGTACCTTCTCCAGCTACGTGTTTGTGTGTTTCCTGCACGACGTGAAGAACGTGTTGAAAATGTACCGCCTGAGCTCGGGGGAGGAGCTGAGGACCTTCCCCCTCGACGTGGGCTCCGTGGTGGGCTTCACAGGACGGAAGAGGGACTCTGAGATCTTCTACTATTTCACCTCCTTCCTCTCCCCAGGTACAAGATGACTCAATACATAGTGTTATGGTTGTTTGTGTAGTAGTTTTAGATGCTATATCTCTTTGATGCTATGTGTTGTTGTTGTTGTTGTTATTGGGGGAAAAGTGTAAATATGTGTGCATTAAGTGCTGCAAAATGCACAGCGTAATGCACATGGGATTAAGGCGAGACACGGCAGGCAAAAACATCGGTTTTCCTGCACTGGTACATTTTGAGAATTTGGAAATTTAAATCTCAAAATGGCAAAAGAACGGCGAAAAAAACGTTCGCAGAGAAGACGACAACAATTGTCACTTGCATGAAGCAAGGTTATAGAAAAAAAGAAATGACCCCGAACATGAAATACCTTCACGAAGTGCGTCGATGAGCTGTCATCCAAAGAACAGGAAGGTTTAGCCAGCGCCTCAAAGCAATCTTTAAAGGTCGTTTTCTCAAAATGAGTTTTTTCTCCTACTCTGAGTCCGAAATGTCCACTTCAGTAGCACGTAGATACACCAAACCTTCCAGTTATATTCCTATTAATATTATGAAGGCTGTTACCGAAGGGTTTGTTCATATATTTTTCATAGCCTGAATTATATAACATTTTATACCTGAAAACATGAAGAAAATTGATATTTTAGGGCTGTTGACAGTATTTTCTGATTTATGGAGTGAAAAAAAGAGATATCCAAAATCCATTCTGTAAAAGCCTTAGATACTAATATGACTACAAAATGAAACAAGAATTTTGAACTTGGCTTTATCCAAAGTTCAGATTTCGGTTCCTGAAATCTGTTAAAATATGCGCATATTTAATGAGATTACGGATCATTTGGATATTTAAACATGCTATTTCAGAAAACTTGTAATACAAAAAGCAATTGTCTTAATGTAAGTAATTAACTGGAGACATTTCTAGCTGATGTCTTTAAGTTAAAAAAATTACCCTATTCACCTGAAGTGTCTCGCCTTAAGGAAAAACAAATAAAAACTCATAAAACTCACACTGGTGTCATAAAGTAGGCTCAAACGTTGGTTATATTGTATCTTGCCACATGTCTAACAATGTTGAGGTTGCATTACGTATAGTTACTGTATAAAGATGAAAGAGATGTGATGCACCTTTAGTCACTAGATTATGGAGCAATATGAGCTGATGGTTCTTCTGATGTCCGGCAGCGGCTCAGTCAGTAGGGGCTTGGACTGTGAGCCGTAGGGTCGCCGGTTCAAGTCCCCGAACAGACGTAAATATGGAGTGTGGACTTCTACTTGGAGAGGTCCCAGTTCACCTCCTGCCCTGCCGTGGTGCCCTTGAGCAAGGCACCGGACACCCCCCTCATTCCCATTGCTCCCCGGGCGCTGTACACTAGCTGCCCACTGCTCCTAGTGCTAGACTCCTGGTACTAGAATGGATTAAAAGCAGAGGCCAAATGTCACTGTGTGTGCTCTGCATGTGTGACCATTAAAGAGGGGGTTTCTTCTCTTGCATCCAGCCATCATTTACCACTGCGACCTGACGAAGGAGCCGCTGCAGCCCCACATCTTCAGAGAGGTCACTGTCAAAGGCTTCAGCCCCTCAGACTACCAGACCACTCAGGTAATGACAACATTCCAGACTTTATTTGATCTGTGTGCACTACTTCTATCAAAGAACATTTCAATATTGGTCACTGAAAGATGAAACGTTAATAGAGAAATGTTTTTTTATCTGTTTTCCTTGAAAACCCTAAATACATGCCACTTCTTAAAGTACCAACCCAATATAACGGCTATCAGTGTGCTGAGAGGGCGTCCACCCCGAGACCCGCGGGGGGG